ACAATGGATCAATCAGCAGAGAAAAGATGTTCATCTTCACAGGACACCACACAAAAAATTAAGCATGCTGGGTAGGAGGGGTTATCCTGGGCCAACCCACATTTATTTATTTTTGTTGCCTATGTCAACATTTTCTGTAGGTGGCAGTATAACCCAGCTATCTATTCCTGTGTCTCTTAACAAATGATCAAGAATTATCAGTAAAAAATAACCCCCCATACTAGCATTTTGAATTGACTTCATTGACAAGTACAAATACATAATGAAGAGTGAAAGCGATGTTATAGCTAAAGGTGGACATAAACAGATGATATGCGAATGGTATCATATTCCAGCACAACGGGTTTAGACTAAGGTCCCAATCACATTTTGGCATCCTGGTGCATTGTGTTACATAGTATTGAGGTTGGGGGAGGGGGAGACACGGGTCCATCAAGTTCAACCTTTGTGTGTGCGTGTGTATAAGAGTGCCTGTGTGGTCTAGTATTTAAGCGTACCTGTACCCCTGTATGTTACGGTCTCTTAGGATGGTATCGAATTTATTTTTGAACAAATCAATATTCTTTGCAGATACCACTGCTTGTGGCAGAGTTCCAAAATGTCACCGCTCTAACTGAAAAGAATCCCCTACGCCCTTTGTGGATAAATCTTTTCTCCACCAATTTTAGGTGGTGGCCTCTAGTCCTTGTTACGGAGTTTACACACATTAATGTATTGAGCCGAGGCAGCCCATTTAAATAAATGGGTTCCCATCAAACCAAAACCTCCAAAAATAATGTAACCTTTAGTTGTTTGTGTGTAAACAGCTGTAGCCCGCAGTATGTCCATTAATAGGTGGAGAAACCAGACATGCTTGCCAAATTTCAGATGGTTGCAGTTTTTTCAAAAGCTATGGTGAGGCTGATTTACTAATGGAGTTGAGGATCTTTCTTCAAATAAACAGATTCACTTTAATGATCTGGTCAGGTGAAAAACAAATTCCTGTTTATTTCATCGGGACATGATTGGGTATTCCAAGTGAACACAGATACTATACTGTATGCTAAACTCCTTAAGCAGATCAACCCACTTGTGTCATTTATGTGGAACTTTTGTGACAATGAAAAGGCAGCAGGGATAGATGACACCAAGAAAGAGGGAACAACCACCTGGAAATCCAGTCTTCTGTTATTTCATTTGGATTTTATAAAATTGCCAATTCTTTTGAGTGATTCTGCTTTGTTTATGGAACGGTCTCAATGTTTTAAAGCTCATTCAATTGAATCTTAATACGGACACTACAGTGGTTTGACCTTAAAATTGACCAAAAAAATAAAATGTATATATTTTATAATGGAAAATGGTGGTTTGTGTGTGCAGTGCAATGTTGACTAATAAGCACTAGTTTTGCATTTGATGACTGATCCTGCATACATAAGGCCTGGATGGGAAGTTGTAGCAGGACTTGCTGTGCAAGGATCATTCTGCTTCATTCATTCCGTGCACCTTTACTTATTTCACCTTTTTTTCTGCTTCTTGAATACC